GCTTTCCAAGCCCCCCCAGTGCAGGCTGCACTCCGCGGCGCCTCCCGCGGTTCCCAGCTGTGCCTTCGCCCTGGCCATGTCCTGCCTCCCTCGCTCTCCATTTCCTGCACCGCATCCCGACAGCCAAGCCCAAGCCCCTGCTCTCTGATACCCATCGCTTCTCCTCCGGATGCCCTCTGGCCCCTGAAGGACTCCCTTATCTGCCCCTGGGACCGCACGCGGCGAAGGCGCACTGGGGCCGGCCGCTAGCCGGCCGCTAGCCGGGGTCGCACCTCGGGCTCCGGACGCCCGAGGCCACCCCGGCACCGGCCACATGGGCCGCGCAGCGCGGCCCCGCCCCCGCGGCGCGCTCACGTGACCCTGGGCTAATCTGGTCCTGGTGACTTCACGCGCCTCGGGCCCAGTCGTCATGGTTACGCCGCAGCGCCCCGCGCTTCTCCGGGCCGCCGTGTCCCCTCCCCTGGCCCACCCGGACCCCCGCCCCCAGCCACGTGACGGCTGGGAAGGAGGTCGGGAGGGGGGAGGGGGCGCCGCGGCCGTAACCCCTTCCTCTCCGCTTGGTGGGGCTCCGACTCGGGCTTTGGGATCCTGGCCTCGTGGCCTGATGGCCCCCGCGGACCCCATCCCACCATCCTTGTTTCCAGTCCAGCACGAGCAGGCCAGAGCGTCCGAGAGCCCGCGGGCCTCGGTTCTGGACGGTCCAGGAAGGAAGCGCCGGCTTGGGGGCAGGGGGAGGGCGGGCAGGTGAGAGCCCCCGGCTCCTGCAGAGGAAATTCTGTGTGGGTGGGTGGGGGGCGCTTGGCTGGCCTGTGTTTGGTTTGCATTAGCTCTGGGAAGGGCAGGTATCTAGCAGGATGCCTTAGGGATTCCGGAGCTGGACTTGTGATTTCCGCTTTCTGGGTCTGTGTTGGCAAGGATGGAATGGGAGCGTCTCTGAGCACCAAGCTGTCTGCGGGCGCGCCCCGAGGAGGGACTGACCTGCAGCGGTGGGGAAGGCTCGTGAGAGTTGCACAGAGCACACCTGGGGGCTTGGGCTCACTGTGGCACCACAGGCAGGCCACTTAATCCCACCATGCCGTAGTGTGTAAAAGGGGCCAAGAATGCCCACCTTACTGCTTTGGGGCTCGAATGCACTGTTGTGCGGATTGCAGAGGCTAACATTCGCAGTAAACCTTATGCCCCCCCAGCTCAGGCTTTTTGCCTGTTGTAGCCTGGGGTGGGCTGAGTTTCTGTATGGCCTGCCTGGGGTCCAGCAGTCTGGAGGGATGAGGCTGGCGTGGCTGGGCGGACCAGAGCTCGGAGCCAAGACTACCAGGGTGAGGGCAGAGGGCAGCTGGGGTCTGAGACAGACGAGGGGGTGTGGCAAGTACACATTTTTAGAAAACTCCTTGGTGGGCGCCGCGGCTCAATAGGCTAATCCTCCAACTAGTGGCGCCGGCACACAGGGTTCTAGTCCCGGGCGGGGCGCCGGATTCTGTCCCGGTTGCCCCTCTTCCAGGCCAGCTTTCTGCTGTGGCCAGGGAGTGCAGTGGAGGATGGTCCGGGTGCTTGGGCCCTGCACCTCATGGGAGACCAGGAGAAGTACCTGGCTCCTGCCATCGGATCAGCGCGGTGCGCCGGCCGCAGCGCACCAGCCATGGCGGCCATTGGAGTGTGAACCAACGGCAAAAGGAAGACCTTTCTCTGTCTCTCTCACTGTCCACTCTGCCTGTAAAAAAAAAAAAAAAAAAAAAATTTAAAAAGAAAGAAAACAAAACTGCTTGGTGGTAGTGGGAGACTTGGAGAGGATTGAAGAGGTCACTGTCCTGGGCCAGGCGACAACTGCTACCTGTGCTTGACTGAAGGCAGTTATAAGAATCACCTGAGGTGCCCGATGGGTGGGGCAGATCCCAGGGCTACCCTGCGCTAAGGAAGTGTTCTGTGGAAAGGCCTGGAAATGTACCTGTTCCCAGAATCAAGCAGCCTCGCGTCTCTACGTCATCGACACCTTACCACCGCTTCCGCTGTGGTTCAGGGGAGGGGCTGGGAGCTGCCTGGATGTGGCGGGAGATGGGCACTCAGGATGACCGCCGGTGGCGAGCTCTGGCCCACTCGGATTCCTGCTGGGTGGATTATCCGTGTGTATACTTGCAGAAACTCCGCCGTGGCTCTCCTGAGGTCACACAGCCGTTATTAAATGGCCGAGGCAGGTCTAGGGTTGGAGAGTTTAGAGGCTATGCACTGGGGCAGATCGCCATTGCCTAGAAAGCTGGGTCTTGATTTAGGGAGCTGCGGCTGGGGCAGTGGAGAAGAGAGAGAAGACAGGGCCTCCTTTGAGCTCCGAGAGAGCAGCTGTGATGGGAGGGCCAGGGGAGATGAAGCAGCGGCCACAGCTTGTTCTGCATCCACATCGAACGGTTCTGCCCCTTGCACAGAGCGTGCCGGGAGGGCGGTGACAGCACACTGAGCCCCGGTGTGCACCTGTGCGTCCTGAGCGTGTCATAGGCACTCACCTGAGTTCAGTGTTCCTGAGGGCCCCCGGTGGTACCCTGTGCCAAGTACGTGAGTGGAAGGGACAGGTGCATCACCTGCAGTGCTGAGGTTGAGACCTCGCTGTGTGACACACAGGCGTACCCGCGTATGTCAAGTGTAGTGCGACACAGAGAAGGGGACTGGTGCCTGCAGAGTCCGTGTATTTTACCAGCATGTGCCTGAGTGGGGCAGATACTTGAGAACAGTACTCAGGGCTGTTACCTGGATACCCGACTGTTGCTTGTGTCACCGATAGATGCCCGAGAGGAGGCCAAGTATGGCAGGCTCCCTCCTCACCCTAGGGGGAGACTCAAGGGTTATACCCAGAGCCGGCGCCGTGGCTCAATAGGCTAATCCTCCGCCTAGCGGCGCCGGCACACCGGGTTCTAGTCCCGGTCAGGGCGCAGGATTCTGTCCCGGTTGCCCCTCTTCCAGGCCAGCTCTCTGCTGTGGCCCGGGAGTGCAGTGGAGGATGGCCCAAGTGCTTGGGCCCTGCACCCCATGGGAGACCAGGAGAAGCACCTGGCTCCTGGCTTCGGATCAGTGCGGTGCGCCAGCCGCAGCGCACTGGCTGCGGCGGCCATTGGAGGGTGAACCAACGGCAAAGGAAGACCTTTCTGTCTGTCTCTCTCACTGTCCACTCTGCCTGTCAAAAACAAAACAAAACAAAAAAAGGTTATACCCTGTAGGGCTGCCCTGAGGCCAGCTCTCTGCAGCCTGAACATCTCTTGCTGGGGATGGCAGCCCTGACCGGCCCTTCCTCTGCGCAGGGCCTGCCGCTCACCACCACAGCGGGGGCACAGCCGCCATGGCCTGCCTCCATGAGACCCGCACGCCCTCCCCTTCCTTCGGGGGCTTCGTGTCCACGCTCAGCGAGGCATCCATGCGCAAACTGGACCCGGACACTTCCGACTGCACCCCCGAGAAGGACCTGACCCCTACGCAGTGCGTGCTTCGCGATGTAGTGCCCCTCGGTGGGCAGGGCGGGGGCGGGCCCAGCCCCTCCCCGGGTGGGGAGCCGCCCCCCGAGCCTTTTGCCAACAGCGTTCTGCAGCTCCACGAGCAGGACGCAGGAGGCCCCGGGGGAGCCACGGGGTCTCCTGAGAGCCGGGCGTCCAGGGTTCGAGCTGACGAGGTGCGGCTACAGTGCCAGAGTGGCAGTGGCTTCCTGGAAGGCCTCTTTGGCTGCCTGCGCCCCGTGTGGACCATGATTGGCAAGGCCTACTCCACGGAGCACAAGCAGCAGCAGGAAGGTAGGTGCTGTGCTTGCGGGAGCCCCACCTCCAGCACCTGAGTCTCTCCCTCCCCACGGCCCAGCCCCAGGCCCTTCACCGCTGCCCACCCAGTGCCCTGGCCCTGAGCCTTGTGGCACTGTGCCTCCTGTCCACAGACCCTTGGGAGGTCCCCTTTGAGGAAATCCTGGACCTGCAGTGGGTAGGCTCGGGGGCCCAGGGCGCCGTCTTCCTGGGGCGCTTCCACGGGGAAGAGGTGGCTGTGAAGAAGGTGCGAGACCTCAAGGAGACTGACATCAAACACCTGCGGAAGCTGAAGCACCCCAACATCATCACTTTCAAGTGAGGCCCCTGGCAGGGGCTGGGGGCTGGGACCCTCCTGGGCTGTGGGACCCAGCCACGTCCTTCCCTGAGGACACTTCCAAATGGCATGGGTGGGAAAGGGGGCTTCCAAGTGTGAGCCAGGTGGGAGCCAGGTGGCCGAAGCCTTCACACCACTGTTTGGCCCCCAGGGGTGTGTGCACCCAGGCCCCCTGCTACTGCATCCTCATGGAGTTCTGCGCCCAGGGCCAGCTGTACGAGGTGCTGCGGGCTGGCCGCCCAGTCACCCCCTCCTTGCTGGTTGACTGGTCCATGGGCATCGCCGGGGGCATGAACTACCTACACCTGCACAAGATCATCCACCGAGACCTCAAGTCCCCTAAGTGAGTATACAAGTGGGTGCACGTGGGGTCCCGTCTCGGGAGGGCTGCAGTGGAGCCCACACAGTCAGGGGATGTGTGCGGAAGGGCAGAGTCCAGCTGACTGCTCTCTTTCCCAGCATGCTAATCACATACGATGATGTGGTCAAGATCTCAGATTTCGGCACTTCCAAGGAGCTGAGTGACAAGAGCACCAAGATGTCCTTTGCAGGGACAGTGGCCTGGATGGCCCCAGAGGTGATCCGCAATGAGCCCGTGTCTGAGAAGGTGGACATCTGGTGAGGGCCAGGCTGGGCCAGGGGCGGGGGCACTTCCGGGGACTAGACATGGCGGCCAGGGCTTCTACAGAGAGCCCCTCCCAAGTGAAGCCCCTCCTCCTCAGGTCCTTTGGTGTGGTGCTGTGGGAACTGCTGACGGGTGAGATTCCCTACAAAGACGTGGACTCCTCCGCCATCATCTGGGGTGTGGGCAGCAACAGTCTGCATCTGCCTGTGCCCTCCAGCTGCCCAGATGGCTTCAAAATCCTACTCCGCCAGTGCTGGTGAGGATGGGCTCGGGCTGGGGAGCAAGGGGGTGTTGCTGGTGGGTAGCTGGCTCCTAGAACCCGGCCACCCAGGGCCTGAATCCGTAACAGAAAATCCCAGCTCCCAGAACCCAGGATGGAGAATGTGGGTGTAGCGGGCTGAGCTGGCCATAACCTGCAGCGGGTGTGGGCGACTCAGGCTGCCTTCCATTTGGAATGGGCTCATGCAGCCTCCCAGGCTGAGCGACTCCGGGCAGGTGGTATCACTTCCAAACCCTCTCCTCATCTGTGCGCCATGGGTAACAGTACCCGCTAACCAGGGCTGCTACCAAGCGCCAGAGTACACAGAAGGGGCACCGGGACAGCCAAGCCTCCAGGAGCAGGGAACCCGGACCCCCAGGCAAGCTTGAGGCCTCTCCAGCTGTGGTCAGGCATTTCCAGGCGCTTCCTTTGAAGGCCTTGGGGAAGAGTGTGACCTGGGAGGACAAGTTGTCACGTGGAATTGCACAGGTCTCCTCACTTCCACTTCCTAGCTGACAGAGTTCTTGGGGCACAGGATCGGGGTCTTGAGGACACTTTGGGCAGGATGTTCTAAGCTGCTATCTGAAACCCACCGCCCAATTTCCCTCCAGGAACAGCAAACCTCGAAACCGCCCATCATTCCGGCAGATCCTGCTGCACCTGGACATCGCCTCAGCCGACGTGCTCTCCACACCGCAGGAGACCTACTTCAAGTCCCAGGTGGGGGGGGGGGGGCGCCCGCCCCACCCCGGCCACGTGCTGTGGCGCTGGCAGCCCAGACTGTCTACCAGGCAGACAGACGCGACCCTCACCCCTCATCGTCTCCACCCCCAGGCAGAGTGGCGGGAAGAAGTCAAGCTGCACTTTGAAAAGATTAAGTCCGAAGGGACCTGTCTGCACCGCCTGGAAGAGGAGCTGGTGATGCGGAGGAGAGAGGAGCTCAGGTGCGTGCTCAAGTCTGGGAGGCGACTTGCCCACTATGTCACTGAGAACCTTCTCAGCAGGTGAACCTGGTTCACTGGAGGAGCTTTCTACCTGTTTCAGACATGCCTTGGACATCCGGGAACACTATGAGAGGAAGCTGGAGCGCGCCAACAATCTGTACATGGAACTGAATGCTCTCATGTTGCAGCTGGAACTCAAGGAGCGGGAGCTGCTCAGGTAACCCCGCCTGTCCTTAGGCATCAATTCCCCAAAGCCCCACCCCCACCCCGAGCTGAGCCCACTGAGCCAACTAAGAGGTGCATGGATGTTTAGGCGGGAGCAAGCTCTAGAGCGCAGGTGCCCGGGCCTGCTGAAGTCCCACCCTTCCCGAGGCATCCTGCATGGCAACACCATGGAGAAGCTCATCAAGAAGCGCAATGTGCCGCAGAAGCTGTCTCCTCACAGCAAAAGGTGGGAGTGGGGAGCTCCTGATGCCCATGCAGGCCAGCCCACGTTCAGGGAGTGCTCTGGGCACAGAAATGCCTTATTCTGATCCTCTCTCCCCTACCAGGCCAGATATCCTCAAGACCGAGTCTTTACTACCTAAGCTAGATGCAGCCCTGAGTGGAGTGGGGCTTCCTGGGTGCCCCAAAGGACCCCCTTCACCGGGGCGGAATCGCCGTGGCAAGACGCGTCACCGGAAGGCCAGCGCCAAGGGCAGCTGCGGGGACCTGCCTGGGCTTCGTGCAGCTGTGCCAGCCCATGAACCCGGGGGACCGGGAAGCCCGGGGTCCCTAGCAGGGGGACCTTCAGCTTGGGAGGCCTGCCCCCCAGCCCTCCGTGGGCTCCACCATGACCTCCTGCTCCGCAAGATGTCTTCCTCGTCCCCAGACCTGCTGTCGGCAGCACTAGGAGCCCGGGGCCGGGGCACCTCAGGGGCAGCTGGTGATCCTGGCTCGCCACCACCTGCCAGGGGGGACACACCCCCCAGCGAAGGCTCAGCCCCTGGCTCCACCAGCCCAGATTCACCTGGGGGAGCCAAAGGAGAGCCCCCTCCAGCAGTAGGGCCTGGCGAAGGCGTGGGGCTGCTGGGAACTGGAAAGGAAGGGACAGCAGGCCGGGGAGGAAGCCGGGCTGGGTCCCAACACTTGACCCCGGCTGCACTGCTGTACAGGGCTGCTGTCACCAGAAGTCAGGTAAAGTATGCACAACTCCCTGAACTCTAACTCTTCCCTGGGCCACTGCCATATTCTATTCCTGATCTAAGGCGCTGACCAACCTTCCTTTGCTCCCTTCTGAGGTTCTTAGTGACCTCTCCCACCTTGACCACAGCCCCCCTGCCCCATCTCCCTGCAGAAACGCGGCATCTCCTCAGAAGAGGAGGAAGGAGAGGTAGACAGTGAAGTAGAGCTGACATCAAGCCAGAGGTGAGCAATGGAGTTCAGGAGTGGCCTTGCTTCTCTGCTGCAAGGGGCAAAACTGAGCTGTAACCCACTGTCTCTGCAAAACCTAGGTGGCCTCAGGGCCTGAACATGCGCCAGTCACTATCTACCTTCAGCTCAGAGAATCCATCAGACGGGGAGGAAGGTACAGCTAGTGAGCCTTCCCCTAGTGGCACACCTGAGGTTGGCAGTACCAACACCGACGAGCGGCCGGATGAACGGTCTGATGACATGTGCTCCCAGGGCTCGGAACTTCCATCGGACCCACCAGCTTCTGAGGTGGTCACTGATCCCGAACCCAGCTCCCTGCCTATCCCACAGCAGGACCTACTCCGAGGTGAGCAGGTGAGTCACCTAACAGAGCCAGGAGCAGCTGCACAAGCCAGAGAGGTCCCTGAATTTAGGAGCCAGTTTCCTCCCACAAAGACAGCAAAAAGCCACGTGGCGGAATGAGGCCTGTAATATAAGCACTGGAGGCACAGCATGTACAAAGAGCAGCCAAGGAGGGATCCTCCGAGTAGGTGGTCTGGTGCTCAGCAGTAGCCTCAGCAGTTTGGATCCTAGCAATCAGTAAGCCGCTGGCTTGCCAAAAAAATGTATATATAAGCAAGTAAAAAACCCCAGTGCGAGGCCCTGAAGGAAATCTAACTTGTAATGCTGAGATGCTGAGCCCCACCTCACTGCATTTCTGCTCTTCCTCGCAGGGCCCTCCCAATTCTGAGGACTCAGACTGTGACAGCACTGAACTGGACAACTCCAACAGCATTGATGCCTTGCGGCCCCCAGCCTCCCTCCCTCCCTGAAAGCCACCTTATTTCCTGTACATAGAGAAATATTTATATAAATAATATATATGCGCCACATAATCAACAGAGAATGATGGGGCTGTCCCAGCCTTAAGTCAGACTTGAGAGAGACTGACCCCCCTGACCAATTCACCTGATAAACTGTAGGGACACTGGCAGCTGTCAAAATGAGTAAGTACGGCCCTGGAGTTGTGCGCAAGGGCAGACTGCTTCGCTCCGGACCTTCTGTTCAGCAAGCAGTGAGGCCAGAGAAAGCCAGGCTTGTCTCTGTGCACCTCTCCCCACGTACGGGGTGGGGGCAGGAGCAGGACCCAGTTAGACTGCACTTTTCTGTTTACACACTTTGCACTTGGGAGGAGGGAGACTCAGGCTGGGTCCTCCCCTCGGAGGGTTCTCAGGTGGCAATGTGACTCATTTCTTTGTCCCTCCGTTTCTCTGCCCAAGCCCTAGCCTAGCTTGGGGCCCAGGGGGAGGTTAGGACACTGATAGCATGTGGTGGCTCAGGCTGAAGGACTGGGGTGCTGTTTTAAGTCCCTGCTTTTACCTGGTGCCTGATTGGGGTGGGGACTGTCATTGTAATCCCTGTGAAAACCTTGAAATATAACCACTCCATGCAGGCCCAGCTGTTGAGGGTTTTCTTGGTGAATAAATGGGTAGCATACATAAGCCTGGGGCAGGCTTCATCTGAGGACTTTGGACAAGTGACTTTGCCTTTGTGCCTCTTTGCTCACTGAGTATCACATCAACTCCAACTTTATAAAATTGGCATAAATGGTAGCAGGTACACTTTTCCAAATCATTTTTAGTACAAGAACAGAAACAGATCTTAAATATGTTCTCTTGTTATCGAGAAGGACTATAAATGAAATAATTAAAAACAAAGAGACTTAAAATATGCAAGCTTAAACAAAGGCACAGACATTCCAAAGAAGGTGAATTCCAGTCAGACCCATGTACTCCCAACTTGTGTGTGACGAGCGTCCCCCCCCCCAACCTGGTGGAAGCGCTTGCCTGTTCTAAAGCCAAGGAAAGTTTTTCTTTTGGGCACAGGTTTTAACAATGGTCAACCAAGTACAGGGTCACAGGAAATAAGACCAATGGCCAATAAAAAAGATGAGTGGTCAAACAGAAGAAAATAACTGGATGTCGAGCCTTCTATTCAAAACCCAAGCAGGGTCCTGTGAGGGATAAAGGTACAAAAATAACGGCAGGACAACAGGAATAAAACCCACATGAATCACTGTGGCATCCAGTTTCTATTCACAAAGAAAAAGCTCCAGTCCATCTTTTAATTTTTTTGAAAAATTCCTGACATTACAGAACTAAACTGAAATGTATTAATATTCCACTCTTACATTTCCATGACAAACAGAAAAATTCATGAGCCAAAAAAAAAAAAAAACCCAAAAGAAGAAAAAAAAAAAAAAACACGGGGAGAAGCTTATAAAACTAAATATGGATCTCAGCATTAACAGCTGAACAGAGAAAGGAATTAAAACGCTTTTAATTAAAAAATCACGAGTGGATGATAAAGTGTGTAGAAACTGAAAATTTACAAACTATTTAAAACCTGGAATCGCTGACTGTTCAGAAACTACACAGATGGATCATGGGTGGTGGTGAACAGCAGAAAGGGATTATGGGTGAATCTGCATTGTTCTAGCTGCTCCCCATGCCACCCGTCTCCGAGGAAAGCCTGTAACACAGAAACAAACAAGAACTCAAAGTTAGTTCTCCCAGTGCCCAGCTACACCTCACCTCTGAGACCTTCCAGCCTGGTTGGTGAAATGTGACAGAGTACACACTCACCACTGTACTAGCAAGTGAGACATTTCAATACTTCTTAGGTTAACCAAAGGTTCCTGAGGCAAATCACCTCAGAACTGAAGGAAACACCTCCCTGGTAACAAACTGTCCCTCCAAACTATGTTCTTCGGGCCTTGGTGGGAATATGCCACTCACTGCCAGTGAGCCCCTGCGGGTTAGGATACACAAAACCAGCGTTTTCCATTGTTGCTGAGCTCATTTCCCCACTGCCCCCAAGCTGCTGAGAGAACACCAGTTTAGCCTCATGGGGTTAATCCTGAACCATCCCCTAGAAGCCTTGACTCTAGACAAGCTCTGGGTTTCTCTATCAGTATGAAGGCTGTTACTATAAGAGGCTATAAGGTGTTAAACAGAACAGAAAGGGAGTTAACTCTGGGGCCAGAATTCTATTGTGTTTAAGACTAGCTTTTAGGACTTTAAAGTGGCAGATGAAATAATTCATCTCAACTCCCTAGCTCACTCATGAAGCTCCTAAATCTGCAGTCTTATTGAGCCCAATCTTCCACCCACACACCTTCTAGAGCTGGTCATCTGAGGTCTGGGAATCCAGTTTAGAACTTAAAGGAAAGGTATCTGGGAATTAAGTATGCTTTTCTGTTTATCAGGTAGCCAGCTCCCGTTCTGAATAGAACTAAACATGACACTCAGTCTCAGTTCATTATGTTATTTCATTAAGATTTTAAATTGACTGTCATAATCTGTTATATCTGACCACAGAGCTTAATTCACCATCTGCATCTTTTGCACAATAATGCAAACCCAAAAGCTGACCAGAGTAGGCAAAGCCAAGGGCCAGAAAATTAAAACTCTCTGAGCTACAAACTATATTTACTTTTAACTCATGAAAGGAAACATTTAATTCTTAAAAGGAGGTAGACTCTTGCTAGCCTTAAAAACAGAAGACTATCTAGAGCAAGGTAAACAATGGGCCCGGAATGAAAGGGTTCACCGTGGGAACTGAAAAAGTCTCAGAAAGGAACTGCTGGGTACAGTTCATACAGAACCCAGAATAATTCAGTTCATTCAAAAAGCAGAAGCGCTCTTGCCCCAGGGGGGTGGGGTAGGGTGAGGCAGGGAGAGGGGAGAGTCCAACCAGAAATGTTAGGGACTCTAGATAGAAGGACCACATGAGGGAGCTCTAAGCTTTTAAAAAAATTTAACACCAAGTACCTTTGGAGGTGGTGATGTAGCAGCCCCTTAAACATCTGGATTCCTTCCCAGCAATCCTTCTTTAGGGAATATTCATTAGGTTAAGAGGCCTTCCAATCAAGAATTAGATAAAATAAAAACCAGGTCCCTGGGGGGAGATGGTATCAGCATGATTAAGTCCTAACTATGGAAGGAGGTAGGGCTGGTCCACTTGACCAAGGAGCAAGGAACTCCTAATCTGGGACAACCACATAGAGGGCTGTTCATCCCCCACCCCCCCACTTCATGCAGACAGGTGGGGGCATGAAACACATTCCTAAGGCCCACTTTGGATGGAGAAACCACAACAGAGAATGAGATAACATACTGGGAAATGCATGGGAGTTAGCTTTAAAAAACAAAAAACAAAAAAAAACAACACTCAACCAAAAAGGACATGGAAAAGGTCAAGGGAAAATCTCCTCATTCCCTGGGAAGACAGAGACTTCTAGTACCCTAGTTGAACAGAGTATCAGAAGCCTCTGATATATCTCAATTTCTACAGAGAGCTGTCCCTATCCTGGGGGGAAGGAAATAAGGCTTCAGGGAGGTAAATAAATGTAAAGCACTGGTTAGTCATTCCTGTGATCTACAAATTTAAGTTCTCTTAGGTGTCTATTTCTATTTATCTCTTAAATGAGACAACTGAGTTAAAGATTAGCTGATCCCTAAAGTTCCTCCTTAATCTAAGAATATAATTTCTTACTCATTCCAGTGTCAGGTGTAGAGGGGGGCAGACAGGAGGCAGGAGAGTAAAGGAATTTGGTTGACTAATTAGAGCTGGTTTCAGATGACCTCTCAGCATCCCATAAGTTCTAACTTAGAGGAACAGAGACAAAACCTAACTTTATCATACTTATCAAACCATACCCCACCATTCCAGATATGAAAATAAATTCTTTGTATGTATACTTTGGACAAAGTCCTCACAGTACTCATTCACCAGAGCAAACCGTAGCCAGGAAGGTGCTCTGCTGCTGCTGACAAGGTTAAGGGAGCCCAGACAGACAAACGTTTCTTCACTAAGGAAGCTTCCTTACGAAGGACCTTCAAACTGCCACAGGCCCCAGTCAGTTGTATTCCCTAAGAGTCCCCTCGGGTCACATGTTCCCACCCCTTTACCCTTCACAGCACACGGTGAACTAAGGTTCTTACTGCGGCAACTTTATTACAGCTAGAAACACAAATATGACCAAGAACCCTGATAGCTTAACCATTAAATAATTTTTAAAAGGGGGGGGTTAATGGAGAAGCTTTTATTCATTAACACAGAGCCTAACACATTGTTATATTCCAAGGCAGAATAAAGCTACAAAAAAATAACAGAATGAGAAAGAAGAGCAAGAACTGTGGCTCTATAGATAAAGAATTCAACAAGTCAGACTCCGAAACAGGCACTCAGATGAAACAGCCTAAACCTAAACAAAGGTTACCATTCCCCCAACCCCCACCCAGTTAACCACCCCCCAAGTAGTAAAAAGGAAATGGTCACAAGCTCACAATAGTTTGGTTCTCACCAGTGTTAACAAAGGAAAACAAAATGAACCAAGAAAACACTTGAGGAGGTACCTCAAGATACGCAATCAGTAGGGGGAGAATCTCTGTTTCTCGCCTTTCAGTTTGTTAGTTACACACGGCACCGCAGAGGTGGTGGTGGTGGCAGCTGAAGCCCCGGTACCCTTAGCAGCAGACACAACATTTAGAGCCAGGAGAGGGATGGGTTTCATGCCAAGCAGACTGGAGACACAAGGGGCGGTCGGAAGAGGGTTGGGGAGGCTGGAGGGTGCGTCGGAGGTCCCCGCTGTGGCGAGCGAGGGGGTGGTGGTGGAGGAGGAAGAAGAAGAAGAAGGGGTGGAGGGTTGAGAGAGGTTGATGCTGAGGTGATCAGGGATCGTGACGGAGGCTGCCTGGGAGGAGGGTTTAGCGTTTTCTAAACTGTAACAGAGGAAAAAAGGAACAAAAAAAAAAGGGTGGGTGGAAGGGAAGACCACAAAAGGGAAAAAGTACAGGACAAAAACCGCTTCAGTTTTATTAGTAAGTTCCTCTGGTTGCCAATTAGGAAGACCTAATATTAACTATGACAAGCTTTTAGCCTGTGTCCCACCCTTTAAATAAATGTACTTTGCCATCCTCCATTCCACAGTGCTATTTAAAATGGCTACAGTGAAGAAAAATTTGACAGACTAAGCAATCACAGGAAACATACTTCCACATATCTGATATTAACAACCCAACCCAGAAGTCACAAAGAATGACTTCAAGTAGAAATGTTTCACATAATCAAATGTCAACTTACCATTCTAATGGAAAACCAACTATCAATAACCCACATAGCTTGCAATTTGTTTATTCCCTGTTATGTCGTTTAAATAATACTACCTGCATCTCCACAGCAAATGACCTAGTATGTTATCAGGATGGCAAGAGGCAGAAAGACCAAAGTAAACCTCTAATTTCAAACCCCAAAGAATGTAAGATTCTCAAAGAAAAATGTTGAGAACAAAAGTGTTGATAAGAACCAGGGAAGCTTTTCTGGTAGGAGGTGGTGGGAGTATAAAAAGGCTCTTTGTTTCTGACTGACCAAACTTCCAACACGGACTTTACAGAACTAGAAGACACAAACTCAAGCATTACCAAAACAGTCATGTCTGAAAGGTAAAAATACTGCTTCTACTCCTAAAATAAGACCTAACAAGTAACGAGGTGCATCTCCTGGAAGCCTAAGTGTGTGCAGAGCCAGCACAGCAGGCATTTGCTGAGGCCTGACTGGCCCAGAAGGCAAACTCAAGGGCAGAGAGGCTCTCCTGAGGGCTCCATTTTGATTCCCTAGGTCCTGCCGCCCACAAAGGAGTGGAGCACAGACATCAACTAACTGCAGAAAGGAAACAGAGTGTCAGGACCACAACTCAAGGGACAAAGTAGGAATGCTCAGAATCCATGAACTGAAAGTATAAAAACCCTTCTTGCCTAGGATTAAGAAAACCAGTTTGCACTGAAACTGGGACAAGAGGAGAAAGTGAAGAGTAAGCTTTGTATACATTCAGTCCTTGCTTTGATGTTAAAAGAAGCTTTAAAAAGTTCTGACCCAAATCCATAGCTTGGACAGTTTCACTAAATATAACGAAACTAAACAGCCAGCCACTTAATGTGGAATGACTGTAAGCAGAGCTTCCTTACATAGCCACTGACCTAGTATGGAGACCAGGCAGGCAGGCCATGTTTATGCAGTCATAATTTAAACTATCTGACAACATTCAGGGCCAGCCTATCCAAACCAGAAGTTAACAATTTCCAGATTCCACAAACCCAATTCTTGACATTCAAAATCCCTCTCCACTGCACCTGGAGGGGAAAGGAGAAGCCCATCTTTGCAGACAGCCTCTGTGCAGCAGCTGACAATGGGCAGGAGGGCCTGACGGACCTGAAGGACAGAGCTAGGCACAGGAAAACATCTTTCTACACGAAGACGGTAGTAGCCCAAGGCAAGAAAATACTTAACGAAGAAATCAGAACCACTACAAGATCTGGTATGTTCCTAACCCAGGGGTAACAGACCATAAGAAAAATAAATGGTCAGTACTAGTGTGACAATACTCGGCTTCATACACATCTCTCCTTTGCACTATATTTGGGAACTTGTCTTTTATGCTCTACAGACAAAATAGTTAACAAGAAAGGAAAACTAGTTATACTCCCCATAAAAGGAGTGCTAAGTCCCTCGGGAAAAGGTTTGCTAACACTGGTTTAAAGTGAGCAATCAAGAATGTGACTTATATGTGCTGAGAAAGCAAGAGATACACCCTTCAGGATGCCCATCTGACTGACGTGGTCCTACAATTCCAAGTGCAGTAACATTACCTAGCTACCAGATAATTGAAATAAAACCTCAAGATGTCATTTAGGGATGAGGCCAGGGAGAGGACTGAGAGAGAAAGTACACTTGGCATTTCTGTGAACTTTGCCTCCTTTTCCGCATAAGCTCTGAACAATGGATACATTTGTAATCCACTGAGAAAACTGAATTGTTTTCTAAATAAACTGCAATGGCTGCCTCCAAGGAAATGCCTTGATATCACACCTACTCTATCACCTAAATTAGCTGAGGGCAAATTAGTGAAAGAAATACCAGCCTATGACATGTACAAGAAACCAATGTTTGGTGTTGTCAGTCTGGGTGCTCTGGCTACTGGTGACGATATACACTATCCTTTCCTATCCCCAAACCATCAAGTCAAACAAATATTAAGCAACCCACGCTTCCCCTCCCCATGCAAATTTATTGCAGTCTGGTTACTTCTCCTGCTACACTAAAGATGAAAGAAAGTAGGCCTAGACTTTTAAATCCGGCCTTCTCAACACATCCTCCAAACAATCCCAAATCTAACAAACTGCAACATTCCCCTACACACAATTACTGTGTGGGCATTAGTAAGATGAAAAGTGGGGCAAACTCACCTGACATTGATTAGGTATTGAGCCAGGCTGATGCTGGCAGCAGATCCGGTGATGGTAACCTGCCTATCAGTAGATCCTTCTACTGGGTTCGCAATTTTGATCTGCGCCCCAGACATCTGACGGATCTCATTGATTTTGGCGCCTTGACGCCCGATTATGCAGCCAATCAACTTAAGGGGAAAAAAAATAACAGAGAGACCAAATTAAAGAGCTGCAGGGCTAGGTCTAAGAATTCCACCTCATCCTTTTAGCTACATTTTGAATACAAGATCATGGCAATCAAAACTACCACCTACATCCGACACTGGTACTTACATCTATCTGATCAAAAACCTGAGTTATAGATTCAACCTCATACTCTTCTGTATGACCACTGTGGATCAGAGCCACCTCTAAGCTTACTCACTCTTCTAGGTCTAGGTATTAGCTCTTCATAGTATCAACACCAGAATCTGAAACCTAGTTGGACTGCCTTAAGTTTCTGGTCACAAAGATGATTAAACTTACCCTGCCTGGTAATCACCATCTAACAATATTTTTCAAAAATTCTGATTCACAAAATTTTTGCCTCCAGAAAAAAATATCATACGGGGTTACTCAACACCTTGTGAGACTGAGTACTTGAAGAAAACAGATCTAACATTCAAGTAGCACTGCACTCAATGCTTTTTAAGAGTCAGCAAAAAAATGAAGGCAAATACAAATTTCTTTTAACAAAACAGTTCTGTCTGCCTCATGATACCCTATAATGGTTTTATCAAATTTTGCTACCAAGTTTGTAGTTCGAATTGTATGTACTTTTAAAAAAACTTAACTTGGTGTCTACACACTCTTATTTTCTTTCCCTAGAGCTCAAATGTATCAGGAAACCCTTGAGTAAATTTCTACTTATTTTCATCACGTGATCCAACTAAGTATACTTACATCATTTGGAATGGTGAGTTCATGAGAAGTAGTCTGAGCAGATGCATCCAGACCTGCTAAAAGACAGAAAAGAGCAAGCAAGCTCAATGCACAGCATTCAAAACCCCCCACTGATTAGCACATTAAACTAACAGAAGGAAATACACTGGAAACCAAGCATTGGCTGTTGGGATTCATCACTAACTTGGAAGCCTCCAAGGAGGAAAGAGGGGAGGGGTGTAGAAATAATGCTGGAAAGGTTCTTCTGTACACTCAGAAGAGCTGATTTCATGCCATTTCCTGCAAAGCCCAGCCTATTCGGGGGTAGGGAGTGGAAGCAAGGGGCAAGGGAATGTGGCATCCTCAGACAGAACCAAAATCTATACATCAAGTCGTTCTGTGCTTCTACTCTTCTGCTTAGGATTTCCTGCAGTTGTGTTCCAATTTCCTCACCTGATGCTCACTAGCACCGGTGTCAATATCATGCCTGTTATTGGTACCATGGACTTTTGGCACACATGCAGCACTGCTTTAAATATACTTGTATCAGATTAACATCCTCCACCCCTATCCACCTAACCCCTAACCTAGACTTAAAGGTCAGATAGAATGAAATGGCAGTCAGGTGAGGGGAGTTTGTTTCTCCAGATTTATTCCCTATGTTTTGCTTGATAATGTTATAATTTTTATTTTGTTTTCCAAAGAAAAAGAAAAAAAAATGCCATCAATAAACACCCATGTTCATCTATAATGACACCTGGACTGCCAGGCCAGCTGGCTAACCCTCAAGCCTCATCCCGCTCTCAGCTGCATTTTTCAAGGGGATTGGCCAGATCCATCAAGGGACCCTTGGGGGCACCAGGCCCACCCCTTTGCTCTCTCAGCTCCTCTCTGCCATGTGCATGTTTCTGGTATGGTTCATGGGCAGTGAAACAAGACTCCCACCAGTTTATTAATATAACAGTAGAATACTACAGATTTTTTTTTTTAATCATTACCCCAATAGCCTTTCACCTCTGGAGAGCTGGATTCAATGCCTGTTAAGATACAAGTGAAAATGAGTTTGGTGGTCTCATCCTAACCCTATCGGACAAGTTATTCCTTATACAGAACAAAAAAAGCCCAAAAAAAACCAAAACAAAACAAAACAAAAAAAAACCAAAACACTACACAATTTGGCACAAATGGATTGCCTCTACCCAAGTCTGAATAGCTGACGGGGAGAAAGGAGGTGCTGATCAGATCAAGGGGGCAGCAGTCAGGATGGGTTGAAAGAAATAACAGCCTACCCTTTGCCTGACAAGCATCCCCAGACCTCACCCCAAAACCTTCCAGGGCCTTATTTTTAGATTAACTCAACCCAAATAAAAAGCATGTTAACAAACACATTACCTCCTTGGGTTTTGCCATAGCAGACAGGCCAAGTTTAAACCAGCAGCACGCTGGGTAACGAAGCTTGCTTTAAACAGATGTCAAGCTGAGACCTTGGGACTGGCCTCTGCCTTGCACTATACCTTACAGAAATAAATACTGAGGTATCCATACCACTGAATCCGGTGTTGCCATGGGTCATGGGAAAATGAGACTGTTGCATTGCCAACTGGTGCAGCTTGGTCAACTGCAAGGAGGAAACAGAAGAGGTTGGCATTAGAAGAGTAACAGAGTGAGGCTCAAACATATTCAGATTTGAAAACGCAGAGCTCCTGGGCCCCAGAGGTGATTCTCCTACTCAAACTACCACAGAGGGTTGGGATGAGGCTTCCATTACAGACCTGGGGATGGGGCAGAGGTTAACAGCAGCAATAGGGTCAGAAGAGAATGAATGCATCTCAGGTGTGTGAACAGAAAAGCAACAGCACCCGCCCAACAACCATCCCCTTGTGGGCTACTTAATGAAGGTGTTTGCAGCCATTGCAACAGTTGCCCCAGGGACAAGCACAGACAGGCTAGGTAAACAAACTGTGCAGTGGTGCTAGGGGAAACACACCATGCAGGGTTCCATCAATATTGGGAAGAGGGAAGGAGATTGGGGGGGGGGGGGGAGACTGCAAGGAGAAGAAACCAAGCTGGGTTTATTCCCCACCACCACCACTGACTTGTATAGGTATGTTGCTTTATCTATTTTTAAAACTATTCTGACTATTGTAAAACAATCAACGCTCAAATCTGCTGTCCCCTCTCCTGGGGGCTACCACTAACCAAGAGCTAACTCACTCAGCTTCCTAAGTCTAATGCTCAGCACCTGAAGGGGTTAGTGCAAGAAGTCTCCTGAAACAAAGTCTAAACACCAGCACTTTGAAAATGGGAGTTTTTAGTGGCAAGGCAGGTTTTCAGTTCAGTTCCCAGATTTTAAGCTTCCTATTCCTCCCAGGTAGCCCTTTCCCCACCCCTCCAAATGCTTTTGAAACTGTCATCTCAGATTAAGGTGGACCCAAGGACAAATCCAACCTCCCACCTCCCCTACAGAAAGGATTCTATGCAGGTAAGCACAGTTCACTTTAATTTAAATTTTGCCCTGAGACAGCAAATGACAGTGTACCACAGAATGTTTCTCTGGAGAGTGATCTGAAGCATGGGGAAAAGTAGAAGCTAATCAGCTGCTGGATTATCATTTCTTGGGATTAAATGTCCAAAGGCAAACAAGATGCTAATATTCCCTGATTAAAGATTAATTAAGGGTCAAAATATGGGTTCACCTCATGAGGAAAGCAAGTATACTGCAAACATTTAAGACCCAACTCACTTCTGGCTACTCAGAAGAAAGGAATTAAGACAATTTTGGTTGGGAGAGGGAGCTTTTCAAAACAAGAAGTGAAAACAAAACTTACATCTGGCTGTGGAATGGCATACTGTCCTTGAATGGTATAGGCCTACAAAAGGAGGAAAACAGTTCCTATTAAAAACCAATCACGGACAGCCACCCAGTGGGGGGGAAAAAGACGGATTTCAACTAGCCAGAAAGCCAGAGTTGAACTACAGAATGGGGAGGCCAGAGGGATGAGGCAGTACATGGAAATCTCACAAATACAGTCAGACCCGAGTTGGCCTTCTTTGAGCCTATTTTGACTTTATTCCAGGGATCCTATAAAGGTAGTCAAGTTCCCTGCAATCAAAGGCAAAAACAGACTTATCTGTTTCTTCATGAAAATGTGGGAAGTGAGATTAAACAATGCCTCGTTTGACCAGCCACCCCCTCCCCACTTCCTCCCTATACCCAAGACAGCCTACAGGGAAAACAGTCTCTCCCTCACCACCCCAACCCTGCTACCAATCATGTTGATGTGAACAACTTTTATCTGTACCAACCTACATGGCATTTTTCAAACACTTCCCTTTTTCTATTTTTCTCTATATTTGCCTAAAGATCTCAAGTGCTCTGGAGGCTAGCTGGGTCCCTAACACTATAGGAAGCTGACCAAAGGCGCGCACACACACACACAAATCACTGCTCTAAGTCCTACCTTCTCCCACCTCCCCTCCATAAAAGGCACTTGCAGCTCCCACTATGCCCTCCTCCCCCCTCCCGCCATAACCTCCCAAAAAGGGAGCTGGATCTTTCAGGGCAACAGGGTGGGATACAGGGGGAAAGGAAAAGGAAACAGGAAGGGAGGGAGGGAGGGAGGGAGGGAGGGAGGGAGGAAGAGGATGAGGGGGGAGAGAGAGAGAGAGAAAAGGAAGGAAGGAAAGAAAGGGAAAGTTTTACAGCCTGGTCCTGAGAGGTCCACAAAGGGAGAAGAGGGGTTTAACAAAAAAAATTAAAAAAAAAAAAAAAAAAAAAAAAAAACCGAGTTGGTGTTACCATCTGGTGGGCTACGCGGCCTGTGTGAAATGAGGTGGGGGGGTCAGTCCAGGTCCCCGTGGACAGGTGGTGTCCACAGCACAAAAATCACCAGCGCCACTGGCCCCCCGCGTGTTGGCAGTCTCGGCTGAGGCGGAAGGATTGAGTGAGCCTTGGAGACTGAACATCCCCTCTCACCTCTAGAGGTGGTCCCTCCAGGTCAGGGTTGAGGCACATGGACGGGGTGGTGTGGGGAAAGCTCGCACTGTCGCTGCCTGTGCTGTACCTGTCCTGTGGATAAATAGAGGATTTCAGTCTCCAGGGCTGTCAATCCGGCACCTTGTCACCAGCATGAAATTCACACAAAAAAAGTTGTTTATTTTTTTCTTTTTCCTTTAAAAAGGAGCTCACGACACAGTTTGAAACGAGCTGCAATCAGTGAATTAAAAAAAAAAAAAGTTACCTAGTGGCAGATTTCACACTGCACAATTGGGCTATTTTCAGTAAGAACGAAGAGGTGGGGTAGAGGCTGATGCCAGCTCCTGGTCATTGTGGGTGGGATTAAGTCAAACCCCTACAGAGCCCACTTTGCCACAAAGGGACAAAAGACACACGTCCATCTGTGGACATTACATGAACTTATTTATTTAAAAAGGCCCATGGGAATGACCCATGACAGGGCCACTCATGGAAGAAGCTGCAAGCTTTCAGAGGGTGGTCAACTGAATAAAGGGGAGGGAGGGAGGATAAGGAAGCAAAGAGGTTTGAAAGGGAAGGTGGGAAGGGGAGGAAGGGAAGTGAAGGCAGAGTTTCTAAGGGAAGACAGCTGCTAGGCAGCACTCCTAATCCCACACGGGAGCAGGAGAATCCAAAAGAGCAAGAACCTGGAGTTCGGGAGTGGGGGGGAAGGGGCGGCTCCCAAGGCTTACCCTCCTGGTTATTCTGCCTCTGACCCTTTGCATATCCTGCCTCACCATCCAAAGTGACTACGAGCCCTTTGACCAAAGGAATTTGTACAAGGCCAGTACTATGTCAGGCTAACACTGTGACATTAAAGCGCCAAAAACTACAATGACAACTAATTCCTCCAAACTTGTTCAAGTTCATGCCAACTCAATAAAACATGAATGAGATGGACTCCAAGTTTATGCACCCCCTCTAAAAGGCTCCCAGATCAAATACAAGAAAAAACTAATTAAATATGCTTCTAACAGGCCAGCCCCAAGGCACTCTGAGCAATGCACTTGCTTTTAGGTAGGCAGCCACCAAAATGAAGATTACTCTATTTCAACCAGAATCCCAATATTTTAAAAACTGACCTACCTACTCTTCAAATACTCATCAACAAAACAGAAAACTGTCATAGCACTGATTAATGCTCTTGATATTCATGTCTAACTTCAGAATAAACCATGTTGTCAAAGATCAAGAGTTTAGGTTGGTGAGGAAGGAGCAGAGAAGCTAAGGGGGTGCTTTGGTGTTTCCACTCTAACACCAAAGGTCACAGCACCACAGCCCAACATGCTCTCCCGCCCTTCTACTGAACTCGTGCCCCAGCTGATTTCAGTTACGCCACATGGGTTCAAACCAGTGTTTCTGAGGTTGAGAGTCTGGGGAACAGCACACTGGAGTCTGGGAGTGAAGGGTAGGAGTAGGGGAGGTGAGGTGGAGGGAAGGGGAAGTTTGTAGGACACTCAAGTTCAGGACCCCCTATTTTGAGACCACCATCCAGAATCTCATTCCGAGGTCCAATTCTTTGCTACCTTTACTCAGACCTCGCAAGATCAGCCTACACATATAAAAGCATGGATGGGGTGGGAATAGGAGTAATGACACTAAGGCAATTTAACTCTTCAAATCCAACCCACCTTAAATTACCAATCAATTATCTCTCCCGAGTGCCTACAAAACTTCCATTGCCTGGTAAAAATTAAATAAGGGCTTGGCATTCATAGCTTTCTCTAGTACAAAAAATAAAACTAAAAGCAGTCAAACTATGGCCAGAGTACAGATTTCAGCAAGCATGCAGAGTGGCTTGGTGTGCTGCTGGCAAAGTTGACATTTCAAATACAACTTTTGTTCAACTCTAGCCCACCAATAAGAATTTTCTTACCTGACCACCTGCAAAGATGACCGGAGAACTGGACGGCTTGGGCCGGTACGGGATGGTCACGCCCTTCGGAGGGGACTGGGAGAGAGTCAGAGGGGAAAAAAACAAAAAGAGATAAGGTTTCAAAGCTGCTTCAGCTGTGTGGCTTTAGCTCACACAGGTCAATTAAATTAAAAATTGTAATATTTCCATCCCTTCTCCTACCAAGTACTCTAGCTAGATCTACTCAAGTTAACTACAACTGCTTGCTTTAAACAGCAAGACAATGCACACACTACACAGTTCATGCTAATACTCATCAATGATTCCCCTGTAATCATCTCAGGCACCACTTCCACATTTTCAGATAAATTTATTGAACATGAAAAACCTTATATACACCCAAATTCATTCAGCTGGTAATTTTAGGCTCTTCCATTTTAGTGTGACTAAGACAAAAAGCCAAAATTAGAAAAAACATACCCAAATGGTGTGACCAGGATAATATAGACATGGTCTACAAATAACTCAAGGACCAAGTCACGGTTTTTTCTAAATTCTACTTGGAAAGTCTATTTCCTAACCAATACCGGACCAATTCCATGCAACAACTCTAAAAAGGTTAACGTTCCCCTAATTTTGTTTTTGTCTTTAAAAAATAAAAACAGCAGCATATCAGAATCTAATTAATTCAGAAACTCCATCAAGGATCCATTTTTCTATTCTGTAACTACCATTTTGAATATAACCTGTGCTTCGAAGTGAAACACTTAGCAATGCGTCAAAGTTCCATGTAAAAATGTGTAATTATCCAAAAGGTAAATTTAACTTCTCAGAAACCCAAATGCATCTTTGGCCACTCATTCTAAATCCAAGTACTGATATTCCCCTACCCAGCTCAGCTCGAATTATCGTGAACCAAAAGAGATCACTGCTGCTTAGCAGTTTCTATTTTTACTCACACAGTAAGAAAAGTCAAAGCTGGGGGAAGGAAAATATGAACTCAGGAAACCTCTTTCCCTACCCCCAGTGGAGGCTTCTAACAGCTTTACCTAATTCTAGTCTTACTAAATATAGATCAATTCCTCTGTCCCCAGAATTGCCCTCCCCCCAGTCTCAGCATGAGCCTGAGGGCTTACCTCCAACATGACCACGCAGATCTGTTTGACACACTCAATGATGGATTGCGGGATGCCAGCAATAGTGATGGCCCGCTCAGTTGAGTTGGGGAGCATATCCCCTGCCACCTGCACCTGAGCCCCTGTACTCTTTGGGATAGAAAGAAATTTAAAATCAGAGAAAAACAACTCATGCTCTTCCAATTTCTCCTAACAGCAACCGCAGAGTCTAAAGTTCCATGGATACTTTTATCCCATCTCCTGTCTTCTCCCTTCACTTTCCTTAATCCAGATTGTTAACAAAAGTTAGAAGTGAATTAGATTGTGAAAGAGTAATCCTGAATAGAAGCCCAGATTTAAACTGCTCTCCAGAAAAAGGTTCTTCCAGAAAGTTATCCCTCAGTTAATTGCATTTTATGCATGCTGAACAGAAACCTCATTAATATCACCTACCAGGCATTCTCTTATTAAACAAATATTTATATGAAGCCCATCCTATGAGCCAAGCATCACTACAAACGCTTGCCCGGCACATTCCATTAACGAAACCAAGATTTCCACTCTCACAGCAATTACAGGTACATGGCTTCCCAAAACATCATCCAGTTTTCCTTCAGAAGCCATTCAAATTTCATTCCAAGTCCAAATTCAATGACTTCCTAGTCTAAAGCTTCTGTAATTCAATGTAACTCCATTAAATAAGGGAGTAAAACTAACTACTCCAACCTATCTTCCCATTTTCACTTTGCTAAGAAATTTGGTCAAGGAAAATACTGCTACTGTTTATCAAACAGCAATCTCTTTAGACATAAAAGAATCCTGTAGGCCTGATAAAAAGTTGCAAAATTATGCAGAATTGTCTGCTGATAAAGTTGGGAACCAGTCACATGCAATAGCTGGAAATTCTGATTAACGTTCATGTTCTGATGTTATTCAAACCTACGAATTGTGTTGAAAAAAACTACACAATACTTTTATTCCCCGTATGATCAAATTATAATCTTCTAGGAGTGCTACTTTAACAAATCTTCATCTCAAATGCTATCTTTTCTTAGCTATTCGAAGAGCTCGTAGAGCTCCATACGGAATACACAATTAACAATCCCAAAGGAACACAAGTCACCAACCTCTCTTATTTCCTTGATCTTGCAACCACCTTTTCCAATGAGAGAGCCACACTGACTAGCAGGAACCACCAGCCTCAAGGTAACCGGAGGTCTACTGGCAGCTGTGCTATTGGTCATAGAGCTGCTGATGTCCTACAGAAAGAAAATTAGAACACCAGAAAGATTAAGTTAGAGCAGAGCCCCGGAACCTGTAATGCCGTAATGGCAGCATTGTAGCACAGTGGGTTAAGCCCTGCCTTACAAAGCCACCATCCCATATGGGTGCCAGTTCAAGTCCCAGCTGCTCCATTTCTGATCTAGGTGCTTGGGCCCGTCACCCATGTTGAAGACCTGAATGAGTTCCAGGCTTTAGCCTAGCCCAGTCCTTATCATTTGGGTAGTGAACCAATGAATGGATAATATGTGTCATTCTGTCTTTTTAATATATCAGTCAATCTTAACAATGAAAAGTGAAACAAGGCAGTTCAATTCAAATCACCAACTCCGTCCTCCTAGAAAACTAAAAATATAAAGTTAGAAAGCTAAGCACTGTTATAATTTTTTTTAGTTAACAGTATCCTTGTAAAGTAAATGAAATTGAGGCTCAGAATACTTGTGCCAGTCACAAGCTGGAGACCTGAGGGGCCTTCTACCACTCTACCCACAAGGGTGACCCAGGTGAGAGTCCCAGGCTTCTGGCTTCAGCCTGACCCAGCCCAGCTGTTATGGTCTTTTGGGGAATCAATCAGCGGATGGAAGACCTCTGTAACTCTGCCTTTCAAATAAGAAATCTTTTGAAAGAGGGAGAAAAAAAAAAAAAAAAAACGGGAGACTGGAAATTAAAGACTATTGGCTCAAACCTCATAATATTTTCCCTAACAAAATGCTAACATGTTTTTTGGGCCGGCGCTGTGCCACAACAGGTAATCCTCCACCTGCAACACCAGTATCCCATATGGACACTGGTTTCAAGTCCCGGCTGCTCCTCTTCTGCTATGGTCTGAGAAAGCAGTAGAGGATGGCCCTAGTGCTTGGGCCCCAGCACCCACATGGAGACCTGGAAGAACTTCCTGGCTCCTGGCTTAGGATCGTTTTTGGCCATCTGGGGAGTTAAGAAGAGGAAGGAATACCTCCCTCTCTGTCACCACTCCCTGTCTGTAATAGAGTTACAACAAATAAAGTCTTTTTTAAAAAATCATGGTTTTAACCTAATTAAGTTTAGCCTTCTGAAGATTAAGTGGTTTAAGTATCACTTCTCACCCTAATCTCCACATATACAGACCTGAAAACTGCTAAAGCGTAGCCCTGAAAAAATTCAAGGACATGTTTCTTACTGGGTTAACAGCACGTTTTTGAAATGCTTTAAGTCACAAATTTTGCACTAGCAAGGTCCTGTGGGTCAAAAGATAACATTTCTGATCCTGGCAAGGATCAGATTTCAGGCACCACCAAGCACTCCTCTAACTATCAATTGCACAATTAGTTGCATTACTACAGAAGAAGAGAAAGAAGCCCAACACAGGACAACGGCTGTTCAGCCTCTGAAGAAAGCTCAGAAGTTCATTCGGATAAAACCCCTGACATGGTTGTTGTTTCTAATAACCTAGGTCTCTCCCAAGTTTAACTCTAACAGTGTTTTATCAGATTGATTATCTTGTTTAAAACATACATATTTATATTCAACTAACTCTATGTTCAGCAGAACCACTAAAAAAAGTGCATTAATCATGCATCATTCACTTAATTGTTTACTGGGAAACATAAAGCTTCCGAAAAAGGCACGGCACAGCTTCAACAACTACTGGTCAAGAAAAGCGTTTCACGCTGAGTGCCTGGCAACAGTCAAGCTGTAACTACAAATGACAAATCTGAGAGGACACCACAGGGAGCAAAGGACTCATTTACAAGACTGTGATACAGCCTACCTTTAAATCTAAAAAATCCTTGGGAAGGCAACAAGTGGGGCTGGCATTTGGCTCATTGGTTCAGATGGCACTTGGGATGCCACATCCCACCATATCAGAGTGCCTAGGTTCACATCCTGGCTACTCAGTGAGCCAGTCTCCTGATAACATACATCCAGGGAAGCAGATGGCTCTAGTAGTTGGCTCCCTGACAACCACATGGGAGTCCCAGATTGAGTTCCAGGCTCCTGATTTGAGCCTAACCAGTCCTGGCTATTGCAGGCATTTGGGGAGTGAACCAGTGGACTGAAGTAAGAGAAAAGCAACAAGCTAGCTGTAAGCACTTAAGGCTGAAGAATGAAGAACTGGGCACCTAGCTTAGCGGTTAAGATGCTTGAGCCCCACACTGGCATCTGTGGACTTTATTCCCAGCCAGAGCACCCAACTCCATCTTCTAGCTCCAACCTCACCCCATCACTGGCTGCATTTGAGGGCGGGGTGGGGGGAACAAACCTCTTCCAGTTTGTCAATGATCATAGCAAATGCTTTGAAAATGGCATTAGTGGGTCCAGCCAAAGTGATAATTCTCTCAGGACAATTCCCTTCTGAGATGTTGATACGTGCACCACTCTGGATAAGAAAGAGTCAAAAAGTCAAACAGACAGAAAAGAACTGAACATGTACAGGACATACAGCCCCTACTAAACAGCATGGGCAAGAAATTGCCTACATATACAATCCTGAATACAAAGGCAAAATCAGTAACATTTCAAACTGCTTCATGTTCCTCTTTGAAACACAACCTCCAATAGTTAAGATAGTTAAGTCTTGTATGAATTTTGAAACTTCTCAGAACCACATTTCCCAAAATACTATTTGTCATTACAAACAACAAAGCCAGAAAAATACAGGTTTCCCCCTGAGGCCTGCTACTTGTTTTAAAGGTTTTTCAACTCTCCAGTTAACAATCCCAAAGCCCCCTTTTAACTTACCTCCTCGCGCATCTTCTTAACAGATTCTCCTTTCTGTAAGAGGAAAAGTCAACTGTGAGTTCCAACTGCTATTTCAAGACAGACTGATTAAATAGTAATCAGAGTTGAAATTAATTATCTTACCTTTCCGATGATACTACCAACTTCCTACAATAGAGAAAACTAGCATTAGTAAGACAAACATTACCAAAAAGGATTCTCTGTCTAGCTAACCAGTTGCTATTTACACTAAGTACCACCCACAAGGAAATGAAAAATTTCAAGATTTATTTGGAAGACAGTTATTTTCTTTCCTTAAAGTTTTAAGTTTTTGAAGCTATCAAAAATTTTGGGAGAAATGATACAGAAGTGACTAAATGATATCTGTTTATTACAAATTACTTCTAAAAATAGCAAAAATCAGTCTTCCTGCTAGAAGTTTCCAAGAATTACTTGGGCAATACGCAATTTACCTATCACAAGCTACAGCAACCCTCCATTAGGGGAAAAAAAAAAAAATCACATCATCCAGGCATGAGATATTCTTTTGGCCCTAGCCTCTCCTAAGCCCTTCCTGCTCAGTGGAGCTTCCTAGGAAAGTCTGTCCATTTTCCCACCACACTCACATCCACGCTGTTAGAGAAGACAGCTAAAGCCAGACGCCCCACAGTGCTAATCTGATGAGCTCCAAGATGCATGTCTGCTCTTCCTGGCCCCTCCCCTAGCAGTTACTATGACCTAATTTCCCAAGCTGGTGCCTACCTTGCCATGCATAAGTAGCCGGATGGTGAGAGTGACATTTAATCCACCTTCAATCACACCGGTGTCCATTTCGAGCGGTGTTCTTGGGAGCTGGACTCTGAGTGGTCAAGTCTTTGGTCACTGGTGGGGGTGAAGCCAAAACTGAAAGACAAGCATGACGAAAGTCAGAGGAGGCAAACAGAAGGGGGCTTATTCCCCTGAGTTACTTTCACCAGTATCAATGCCTAATTCTTTTTCTTAAATGACACCCTATCAGACTCGCACACACATTCAGCACAATCGCATGAACATTTACAGCTCAGGATCTGTTGGAGTATATAGAAGGTGACTTTCCAATTTGCTTTTCAGAATGACAGGGTTTCTGCTGACTCTCGACACGAATGGTTCTCTCCAGACACTAGTTCTAAGGGAACTGCTAAAGGCGCAGCAGTTGTCCTTCAGCAGAGTAAGTTGCAAAAACAATTCAGAAAATCCCTGGAAACCATGGGGGCAAATCCAAACATAAAACACAATCAGGGCAGAGGACTTCTTGCTTCCGTATCGGGTAGCAGTTCACATCGAACGCTACAGAAAACACGTGAATTTTCTTTGTGGTAGCAATTTCCAAAATAGAGACGTACCTCACATTACAAATTTCTAATCTTAATGGGTAGATGACACCCAATGATTTTATTAAGATTTAGGTCAACAATCTCACTGAAAAAGGCGTTATCTCAGATGCCTTCCATGCAGCGCGCTTGGGGGGGGGGGGGGGAGGTGTTCTACATTCCCCCTGGGGAAATGACTGAATACAGAGTTCTTTCCTCCTATCCCTTCTCCCAACCCAGTGTGATAGTTACTGACTGAAGAAATTGTCCTTGTTTCTGTTATGAACCTTATTACCACTCAAGTTTTTATTCAAGTCTAATAAGTCAAATCTCCTTCCCAAGAAAACAATCAAAAATTGGTTCTGCTAAAAAGTTATCTATCTTGTTCACTGTTTTAAGCTACAGCTTAAAAATCCCTTTACTATCCAGGATGGTCCTTTCCCCTCAGAAGTAATTAGTTATGAATAGAGGTTTGTTTTTGATTTTGCCTTTGCCTCCAGCACCTCCTTAGCACGCTTAACCCCAAAAGCTTTAAAAAAGCAAGCCCCGGGTTCCATTCAATTACTTCCAATGGCATTTTAAAGGTCCCTTCAAAACTCAACATCAATGGTAACTCTCCTAGTCTTCTCCCTTCACAGAACCAGCCACTGATTTAATTTATTTTTGCTCCAACACAAAGCCCATATCCTAAATATTCGCAGAATTTACAGCAAACCTGTCCCCTGGCTACTTTAGAATATGATTCTAAGTGATTATATAAGCGCATCTTCACAGCACATCATTCTCTATTTTCAGCATATAGTTAATTGCTGGCAAAATCCCAGAATCCAACACTTTCCACTCACGGAAAAACAATAGAGCTGGGGGAGGGGGGTGTTAGGTTTATAATGCCTCTCTTTTTAAAATAGGATCCGCTAAAAATGTGGCAGTTGGATTTCTTATCCTCGCTCAGACTTCCCAGCAAAAGCACTTTACCAACAGCGCCAGTGATGCAAGTTCGGAAGGGCAAGAAACAGAAACCCTAGTGGAAGTCATTACTTGCGGGGAGGCACACAGCTGCATTTCTCAGGCCACACCATCTAAGCAATCCAAGAGCTCTCGGTCGTCCTCCTCTCCGGCCTGGGTCAGGGAGTGAGCCCCGTCCCGGGAATCCGGCTGCGAATCCCGCAGGCCATCACCCCTCCTATAAATAGCTTGGCCCGGCTCTAGCAGGGGCAGGCATTTTGTCATTCCGAAAATCGTTACCCCGAAGAGAACGTCCTCCGTAACTCGGCCCGTCCACCCTTCCTCAAACTCCGCGCCCCCCCCCGCCCCTCCGTCATTCGCGCATTTTTCCACTTAGAAAAAGCCCCCCCTCCCGACAAGAAAACAGAGGGAAAAAAAATAAACGGTTCGGTCGGGGGGGGGCGCTGCGACCCAGGGGGAGGGGCCCGGCGAGCGGCGCCTCCTCGTGTGGCTGCGCCAGCGCCTGACCCCCGCGGGGAGCCGCGCTCACCCGCCCGGCCAGCAGGCCGGCCATCGCCTCCCCCAACCCCCCTCACCCAACAAATCCACCGCCGCCCCCCCTACCGCGCGCGCGCCCTCCTCCACTCCTGCGCAGCCGCCACCGGGACAGGGCGGGGGGAGGGGGCGGCCTTGCGCGAGGCCTACTAGGCCGCGCCGGAGCCAGGGCCTCGCGTGAATGGCCGGCCGGGCAGCCTGAGGTAGCAGGCGCTCACGCGGGGCTACGAGAGGCCGCGGCTCGTGACCAGGGACCGGAGCCCGCTAAGAAACACAGCCTTGAGCGGAAAGAGGAGCTGGAGCCGGGCACGGAGGGAGAATTTTGAAGCTTACCTGCAGGCGCGAGGCGACTGAGGGGGAAAGGGGGAGCGGGCGGGAAGGGGAAGGGCGGGAGGCCGGGGGCGGAACAATAGGGGCGGGCGGGAAGGCGAGGGGGGCCCCGCGGGCGGGCGGAGGAGGAAGGGGGGGGTGGAGGAGGAGGAGGAGGAAGGGGGAAAGAGACCCCGGGGCGGGTGGAGGGCGGCGGAGGGCGGGCGGGCGGGCGGAGGGCGGGCGGGCGGGAGAGGGCGCAGGCTGCGGCTGCTCCGGCTGCTGCCTCTGCTGGTCTGGGAGGGGGACGGGGCGGAGCGGCCCGCTTTCAACCCCGCGCACCCTCCGACCCCGGAAGCACTAACCGCCCCGGGGACCGGCGAGGCGAACGCGTCGTCCGGACCTTCCCCACGCAAGGCGAACGGCCTCCGAACAGCCTAGAGCGGCTCCTGGGGCCGGCTCGGCACCAGTGAGATGATGGCTGAAGGCAAACGGCGAAGTGTGGGGTAGAGCGGCGACGTGGGGGCGGGGAGGAAGCAGTGGCCCCTAGCGGGCTGTCTGGAAAGCGCAAGCTAAGGCGCGGAGGGAGCCGGCAGTAGCCATGGATCAGGAGCAGAGGAGAAAGGGAATGTGGAGAGAGAATTAGAAGAGGTGTGGAAAACCCAGTAGTCTATACTAATACTCAAAAAATAATGGGGAAAAAAAGGTGACTTGCTACAGTGGAGGCTACTATTACACTAACTCCTAACTCTGAAAATGTGGTAAAGAACTAAGATTTTACCTTATGTTGAAATCGATAAGGGAAACCTCCTTTGTAAAGAGTTCAGTCTACTGAATAGAAGGAGTGAGTTAGAAAATCACCATTCTGCAACCCAGGGTGAAATAGCAATTAATTCAGGCAAGTGGTATCAATCATTACAATTTCCAGAAAAGCATTGTTAGGGCACAGAATATCATGGCGTCAAATATCACCACACAGATTATTTCCAAATTGCGCAGTTTGAAGAGTAACAAAACAAAACAAAAAAACAGCTGAGGCCAGCGCTGTGGCGAGGCAGGTAAAGCCGGCAACCCGTGTGGGCTTTGGTTCCAGCCTGGCTGCTCCATTTGTGACCTGGGACCTGGCACCCATGTGGGAAACCAGGAAGAAGCTCCCGTTAGCAGCTTCAGGCTGCTGCCATTTGGGGAATGAACCAGTGGATAGAAGACCTCTGTCTCTCTCTCCCCTTCCTCTCTCTCTCTTTCTGTCTCCCTTGGATGCTCTACCTTTCAAATAAATAACAATGAAGTCTTTCAAAAATTGAAAAACAAGAACTGAAGAGATCTGGCAGTCACCACCTTCCCTAAGGAAGTGACCAAACTTTGCTGGCTAGGACGATTGCATGGTCTTGAACCAGGAGTACACAGCATCATCTGTTAAGTGTTCTTGCCAAAAGTGTTTAACCTTAACCTAAGCAAGCCTTCAGCTCTGATTTGTAATTTATGGGAAATTCAGAGGCTAAAGGAACCAGTTAAACACTAATGCTAGGAGATACCTGCAAACTCAAAATGTGGTGCTTTCCGCAAGACCACCAGCCTGGTCTCTCCGAAACCTATGGGATATAATAAAGGAACAGGCAGGCAAGGAGGAAGAAAGACAGTTTTAAGGCAGGAAAAAACAAATATAATGTTTAAATCTTGCTTGGATCTGGGCACAGTTGAGAAAATTCAAACATGAATAATAGATCATTGAGGGAGCATCAGTGGTACTTTTTCAGTGTTATAAATGGAGCTGTGATTACATAGAGAAATGTCTTTGAGGTGGTGCGTGATAAAATATGTAAAGGTAATGATGTATGCAACAGATTTTCAGTGGTTCACACAGGGCCGGCTCTGTGGCACAGTGGGCTAAGCTTCTGCCTGCAGTGCCGGCATCCCATATGGGCACCAGTTTGAGTCCCGGCTGCTCCACTTCTGACCCAGCTCTATGCTATGGCCTGGGAAAGCAGTAGAAGATGGCCCAAGTCCTTGGGCCCCTGCACCCGTGTGGGAAGACCCAGAAGAAGCTCCTGGCTCCTGGCTTTGGATCGGCCCAGCTGCAGCCATTGTGGCCATTTGGGGAGTGAACCAGTGGATGGAAGACCTTTCTGTCTCTCCTTCTCTGTCTGTAACTCTACCTCTCAAATAAGTAAATAAAATCTTTAAATAAAAAAAGCTTCACATAGGTATATTGATAAGGCAAATAGGGCAATATATTAGCACATTGTTTGAGCATAGGTGAGATGTGTATGGTTGATTGCTGTTCTGTAAACTTTTTAAATTTTCATTAAAAATTGGAAGAAATATGATATGGAAATGAACAAGACAGGCACTGTAATTATTGAAGCAAATGATGGGAATATAAGACGTCATGAAACTATTTTCTCTACCCATGTATGAAACTGGAAATGTCCACATTAAAACTTTTTTTTAGAAAGACTTATTTTATTTATTTGAAAGACAGAGTTACAGAGAAAGGTAGAACCAGAGGGAGAGAGAGTTCTTCCATCCGCTGGTTCACTCCCCAGATGACTGCAATGGCCGGAGCTGAGCTGATCCAAAGACCAGGAGCTTCTTCCGGGTTTCCCACACAGGTGCAGGGGCCCAAGGAGTTGGCCCATCTTCTACTGCTTTCCCATAGCAGAGAGCTGGATCAGAAGTGGAGCAGCCAGAACTCAAACTGGCGCGCATATGAGATGCTGTGGCAATACCGCAGGCTGGTATCTCTGTGCCACAGCGCTGGCCCCAAAACTTTTTTAAAAATGTTCACTTATGTATCTACATCCTGAAAGACAGTGACAAAGAGAAGGATGTTCCATCTACTAGTTCACACCTCAAATACCCAAAACAGCAAGAGCTGGGCCAGGCCTCTCTGTAACTCTGCCTTTCAAATAAAATAAATAAATCTTTAAAAAAGAAAGACCAGGGGGCCGGCGCCATGGCTCACTTGGTTAATCTTCTACCTGCGGTGCTGGCATCCTATATGGGTGCCGGGTTCTAGTCCCAGTTGTTCCTCTTCCAGTCCAACTCTCTGCTGTGGCCTGGGAGGGCAGTGGAGGACGGCCCAAGTCCTTGGGCCCCTGCTCCCACATGGGAGACCAAGAGGAAACACCTGGCTCCTGGCTTCGGATCGGCTCAGCACCGGCCGTAGTGGCCATTTGGGGAGTGAACCAATGGAAGGAAGACCTTTCTCACTGTATCTCTCTCTCTCACTGCCTATAACTCTACCTGTCAAATAAAAAAAGAAAAAAGAAAGACCAGAGAGGAACTCAGGCAGGGAGTAAGACAAAATAAAGAGAAGGATGGGGCCAGCACTGTGACACAGCGGGTTAAAGCCCTGACCTGTAATGCCTACATCCCATATGGGTGCCAATTCGAGTCCTGGCTGCTCTATTTCCAATCCAGCTCCCTGCTAATGCACCTGGGAAAGCAGTAGAGGATGGCCCAAGTCCTGGGGCCACTGCACCCACGTGGGAGACCTGGAGGAAATTCCTGGCTTCAGTTCAAGCCGTTGCGGCCATCCGGGCAGTGATGAAAGACCTCTCTGTCTCAACCTCTCTCTGTAACTCTGTCTTTCAAATAAATAAAATAAATCTTTTTTAAAAAATAAAGAGAAGGAAATTGAAAGCAACTGCAAATACTGTGTTTATTGAGCCTTATTCACTGGGTAGTCCCAATCAGTGGACCCATCTGAAGAGAGACAGCTCCCTTAGATGGACAGTAAGGCATGAGGGCAGATGTTTGGCATGGCAGTTGAAACGCTGCTTGGACCATCTGAATCCTACATCAGAGTTCCTGGATGAGTGCGCTTCCTACGAATGCAGACCTTGGGAGGCAGCAGTGTTAGCTCAAGTACTTAGGTCCCTGCCACCCACCTGGAACACCCAGACCGAATTCCTAGTTCCTGGCTTTGGACTGGTCCAGCACTAGCTGTTGTAGGCATTTCAGGAGTGAACCATTGACTGGGAGATTCTCTCTCTCTCCTCTCTGTCCTCTCCTCTCCTCTCCCTGCCCCTCCCTTACTCTGCCTTTCAAATAAATAAATCTTAAAAAAAAAAGTAAGCAAACAAAAGAGCAGGCTTTAACCATGAGGGCTGGGCTGATGGTCAATATTCTGCAGTTATAGGGCAGGCTGCCAGCTCTGCAGTTAGGACGCCCGCCTCCCCTGTCCGAGTGCCTGGGTTTAATGCCTGCCTCTGGCTCTTGATTCCAGCTTCCTGCTCATGCAGCAGGTGACGGCTTAAGCAGCTAGGTGTCTGTCACACACCCATATGGGAGACCTGCACTGAGTTCCTAGCTCCCAACTTCAGCCCAAGTTGGGACCGTTGTGGGCATTCGGGGAGCAATCCAGTTGGATGGAAGCTGTGTCTATCAAATTTTTTTAAAAAAAGGTTTTGCAATTGGGTCACTTGTACCCCTGGGCTCTTGAGAATGGGGGTGAAAGTGGCTATTCATGAAATTATCTCTAATGCGAGGTACAAAACAAAGATTAAATAGCTCTACTGGAGTGGCAGCTGGCCAATAATTACAGCTAGCTTTCAAAGAGAAAGATGGGATATATCTGAGGCCTACCTCGTGGCCGCCTGTGAAACTGGCATCCCATTTGGGCACCAGTTTGTGTCCTGGCTGATCCAACTCCCTGCTAATGCTCCTGGGAAAGCAGCGGAGGATGGCTGGAGTGCTTGGGCCCCTGCACCCACGTGGGAGACCTGGAGGAAGCTCCTGGCTTCGGCCTTGCCGAGCGCCAGCTGTTGCAGCTATTTGGGGCATGAACCAGCAAATGGAAGTTCTGGCTCTCTCTGCCTCTCCCTCTCTCTCTGTAACTCTGCCTTTCAAATAAATGAATCTTTTTTTTTTTTTTTTAAATAAAAGCTGACATATATTTAATAGGAATACTTGATAGTTTTATGAGTCAAAGTTTTCTCAGAAGTCAAGAGAGTGCACTTGGGGCCGGCAGTGTGGCACAGCAGGGTAAGCCGCTGCTTGTGATGCCAGCATGGGGTGACCGTTTGAGTCCCGGCGGCTTCACTTCCAATCCAGCTCCCTGTTAATGTGCCTGAGAAAACAGTGAGAAATGGCCTGGGTGCTTGGGCTCCTGCAGCCACATGGGAAACACGAATGGAGTTCTGAGCTCCTGGCTTCACCCTAGACCAGCCCCAGCTGTTGTGGTCATTTTGGGAATAAAAAGTGGATGGGAGATTTCTCTGTCTCTCCCTCTC